CTGGAAAACAGTCTATAATGTGCCAGGTCATGCAACCCTCAGCAGGAGGCCATCCTGTGCCTACGAGACTAGGCCAAACCCAGCCTAAACAGTAGCTAAATAGTGTGTGGTGTCAGCCCAGCGTTGAGATAGCCAGAAAAATCTTCAAGAGGCTCACTAGAAAGTAGGATGAGCAAAGCATAAGTATACAGTCACTGCTACTAGGACCTGTATTTTCTTTCCCAAGAGAAAAAGCTGTAGACAAGTGGAACTGGATTTCACAAACAACACCACGCATGCCAAGTAACAAGGGACACTGAGACCATTCAGACCTGTTCTTAAGTTGTGCCTAAGTCCTTCCTCATTACATACAACACTAACTCTGCTTCTTGGGGGGTTTGTTGGGAATTTTTATTTTCTTTTACACCAAGGCCTTCAAGAGGCTTTCCATCAACAATGAAGCAAGGCACTTCCCTGTTCTTGAGAAAGAATAGGCTCTTTTTTGTGTTAAGTTTGAAGTGCTAACAAACTAATGAATTAAAGCTTTCACTGACATTTCTGGAAAGACCCCAAGCCATTGGTGCATAGCTGGCTCAAGGTGGATGTGTGTATGTAAAACACTAACCCTTTTCCTGTGCTATTGATGGTTATGTGTGTACACACAACAGCAGCCCCTACACTGCTTGCAACAGCACTCAGGCTGTCTAAGCCTGGCTCAGTGCCCAGCACCAGCAGAGGCAGAGGGCTCCTCTTGCAAGGTGCACAACAGCACTGCTTTCACCGGGAACTGGGAGTCTGGGGGCCACCTCTTTTCTGCACAAGATGAGGATTCCTGAAACACATCTGCTCACTGCTAGGGATGGGCTCAGCAAAGGAGGCTGAGCAGAGCATCGTTAGTTTACTGGGGCCTCAGGCTGTGCTGCGCACAAGAGGCTCACATGGCTTGCCAGGCAGCAGGAGGTAAGGAACAGCCTGCAATCAGGTATGTTGGGAGCTTTATGAATCAATATAACCACAAGTTCCGGCTGTCCTGGTGATCTCTTCTCTAATTCATGCACCAGCTGAAACCAAAACTGCTACACTGAACTCAAGTGGTGTGTGAGGGCTGCTCCCTATTACCCAAACCCACATTACTGTACCATTGCTCACCTCTATCTCCTCTTTTACTGTACCACGGTAATAAAATCCATCTTGTTCCCTTCTCACCAGCACAGGCACGTTGCTGTCTATGCACATGGATCTCCCCAGTCTCTCCCAAGCCAGGCTGGAGGAATGGAGGCAGTGGCTAATCCATTGGCACCTCAAAGAAAAGAAAATGGGTCAGCAGTGAGAGAAGCAGCTTCTGTAGGTCATGAAAAAAAATCTTCTAAGATTCAAGAACTGGAACACTCCGCCTCATTTTGTAGCACTCCCACAGGCCAAAGAACGTGGGAAGGAACAGAACACTTGCTTGTGCAGGGACAATTCCTTCATCTTGGGAAAAACACATCAGTGCCTGCTTTTACCCAGATTTCTTTGGGTGTAGGTTTACAGGAAGTGAGGCAGTGGTCTGCTGGAATTCTGGGCCAGGAATACCTGCACTATCCCTTTGCTGTTTATGTGGTGAGACAATGCAACCCCTCTCCAGCACAGAGCACAGTGTAGGTGTGCTTGAGAATGCTGTAGCTGATGGTTTACACTGAAGCATTCGGGGAACAGCAAAGCAGAGAAGTAAACAACCAAGCTGCTGGTTGATGACAGGTTCAAGTCCAGAACTGGAAAAATAATCCCCTGTCACAAAGCATTAGAAACATTTCACAGAAGACAGCTGCTAATGCAAGATGCTTTTATTTATCCAAATAATATTATAGGAAAGTTTCTTTGAGAGGAGGCTTACTCAGGCTTTGCTTTTCATAATCTCCAAGGTAGCAAATAACTTTAGTTAAGACCATCTGAAAAACTGCCAGTGCAGGGGTGGGAAAGCTCAAATGATGTTCAAACTGCTAGTTTATTAATCTGACACACCAGCCTGATTTATCCTAGTAGATATCATGGGGGAAAAAACCAAAACACAGACTTAAAAGGAACTTGATTTTACCTCTGGGGGGTGAGGGGCTCTGTGATCCAGGCAGGATACACAACAAAAGAGCTCCTGCAGGTGGGGTTAATGTTTGGTACAATGCTGGAACATGAGAACTTGTCCACAGCTGGCCTCACACTGCAATACCTGTGACCCATAGGCAGGAACCCTTCCAAATGAGCCATTCTTGCAAAAGCAGATACCTGCAGGACTCAGTCGTGATCTGTTGGTAGAAAAGAGACAAAGTACTGGCATTTCTAACACAGGAAAATGCTTTCCAGTGTACCTCAAGAACTCAGTAATTTTTATTAGTTGTTTATTTTTATTTAAAAGCACCGAATTCAGAATATTCAGACTGGCATTTGGCCTGATGAACCCATACCACTGCCTTCAGTGATCTTCAGTCAACCAACCCAGGGAAATGACAAACGCTATGAAAATCTCCAGAAAAAGAATAACTATCACCTCCCTCCAACATTGTCTCCCTCTCTAATGTCCAGCTCTCTTTTCTTATACCTACACTCTCCTTTGAAGCTTTCTTGTACACACTGCCAGCCAAACCTTCACTGTTTTACAAGCTGAGATGGAAATTACAGCTGAAGTTGACAAGCTGAGTAAACGTGACAGTTTTTGAACATGATGTTAAATTACAGTTGCCTGTTATTTATTTATAGTGATGTATTAAGAGGAAATATTTTGATCTTTCAGCTGTCGTGTCATGTTTTATAACAGTAGGATTATGGCTTGCAACAAGAAAGAATGAGATGCTCAGATGTGACAACTGATAACTATTCAGAGGCTGTCACAGTAAGATCAATGATGTGATGCTACCTCTGGTAATTTTAGAAGATGTAGTAGACAAACTTCCATTAATTTTCCTTTTTCTGTTTTTTTGTTTGTGTTGGGTTTTTTTGTGTGTGTGTGTGGTTTTGTTTTGGTTTGGTTTTTTTAACATTGCTTAGAAACGTTTAGCATGCTTAGAGTAAAATTTGCATGGAAATCCAACAACATAAAAATTGAGTGCTTTATTTTACAAAATGCAGTTTAAGCATTCTTGTTTAGATGATATTTTGTCTCTTATCTAAGACATATCATCTGGAAGTCTTTTTTTGTGGAGACTCCCAGATAAACATAAGTTCAGAAAAATAGCACAGCAAACCCAGCAAGAAGAGTGGGTTAACTGCTGCAGAATGCATCTTTAAGTTAGCAAATCATCACAATATATCCACTTGTTTCATAACTATACAGATCCCCCATTATAAAACTAAAACAAGACAGAATCAGTAATACTTTGCAAAGAAATGCAACTATCACTTCTACGTGAAAGCACATTTTAAAGCCATTCAGCACTGTTACTGCTGAGGGCAGGGACCCCTATTTCTGTACAAAATAAAGGTAACCCCATATTCTGAGATTTTCTTTCCGGATAACTCCAAATAGTTTAACACAGCAGAATTTCAAACTTACCAGCTATTGGTAACAGTGTATCTGGTCGATTTGGATTTAGTCCGAGTGCAGAAATCCTGCCCTTTTGCCTGTTGGGCACAGGAAGCCTTTTGGTGCCAGTGTTTCCTGGTTGCTATGGAGGTTGCCACAGTTGTTACTTCCAGGACTGGACATCCTGACTTAGGCAGTTAAAAACCAGTGGAACAGGACTACCGAGAGGACCGTTTGTCTGCCACACATTCACTCACTGTTCAACTCCCCGTGGATTTAGATACTGCACTAAAAGACTGCAGGGGCAGAGAAGGGATTATAAGAGAGCTCAGTGTCCTCTAGGCCTGCTCTTGCAGGGTAAAAACAGCATCAAAGCTACAGTTCAGATTTGAGGAGGAAAAAAAGCCCAGCACCACAGGGCATGACAAATAAATTGGTTTGAAATATGAAAAGAAAGGTTAAAGCTGAGACAAACCAAGGTCAAATCGCTTTACAAATTTCTCCTTTCACACTAAGGGAAAGTATTAATGAATTCTACCCCTTTCCTACAACATGCCCCTCAAAAACATGACAGAATATAATGCAGAAATCCACCTGTAAATCTCTGTTGTGACCCCTTATCTTCGTTTCCTCCTTAAAACAGAGTTAACAACCAGGGTTTGATTTTTTGTTTCCTTGGTTTTGTGTTTGTAGGGTTTTTTTGGAGGATGTGTGTTTGCAATGCTTAATTGCCTTTTGCAGGCATCTTCTAATTCACTGTTATACAAACAATGTACCAGGGGGGATGACTGCCATTAGAGACAAGGATACATCACTTAAGAAGTCTATAACCATTCTCTGTGCATTCCACTGCACACGCTACATGCTCTCATGCTGTCAGCACAATTGCTCAATATCAATAATACAATCCCCTTACACAGAGCAAATGTTAAGAACACTTTTACCAGTTGTGAGCCAAACTCTCTTCATCATCTTCACACAAATCTATTCTACGACACTTAACTGAAACCATCAACAGCACAGAGGAACAGACTGGGAGGCTGGGGAAGACCAACCCAGACATCAACCATTATCAGTCAAAGTCTCGAAAAATTTCTGTTGCAGGATTGTTTTTTCCCCACAGCCAAGACCTTCACAACCTTCTTTATATAGTGTAATGAGTGAGCAGTTCTAGTAATTTTTCAGGGCAGTGACAGCCGAATAAGAATCCAATTTTCAACTGAAATTAGGCTAAGTCAGTAGTTTTCAATGTGATTAAAATATTCATTAATAAGAAAACAATGAAACAGCACATGCAAAACTTAATGCTCTTCCTGTGTTCAGTAACTGCTTCAGAGAGCTGCTACCCTACTCTATTTCTCCCTCTTAAACTAAGTTATCCTTTCTGCTGGCAACTAACAACACTCCTTGGAACCTTTAAAAGGGTCTTTTAAGAGAAACACTGGCAATCATGAATCTTTTAATGAAGTGTATGTGAGAGTAAACCAGTAACGTTACAAAAAATTAGAAGAATCTCAGTCCCATCATTAGGAAGATTTTATTTTAAAGCAAGCAGATTGTGATGATACATACAGTTACTTCGCACATAGAGGTGTTACATTTTTAGCTTGTTGACAAATTTAGAAACATTTCCTGATTTTCATGAATTAACTTAGGTCATTCAGCTGAGATTTTCCAAGTGGTCTTTTTCGTATCTAAGTGTAGTTACTATCTGCAAAACTAAAGCTCCTGTGTGGGCTGACACTGACGTGTGCTACGAGCTGCTCCCAAGATATGCCCAGGAACACGCACGTCATTAATGGAGTGGCTACCACGTTCCCAGACACGGCACCTTTTGCTTGGTCTGGAACACTTTAGATCGCCTGCAAAAGCTGGTTCTGTTTGTTGACTGCTTTAGGTGCCTGGTTTGGCTCTGTGACATTTTTTCCTGCCACCACAGAATCACTGCACAGAACGGACTGCAGGTACCTAATGTATTTTATTGCAGCACGGAGTGTCTCTACCTTGCTGAGCCGTTTCTCCAAGTATTCCTTGGGCAGGTGATGCCTCAGCTTAGCATAGCCTTCATTGACACACTTAACCCGCTGCCTTTCCCTCTCATTCCTCTTCCTGATGAAAGCTGGCCCGTAGGAGTACTCACTTCTGTGGAAATTGGAACGGGGCATTTGGTAGGGAAAGGTACAGGGCTCACTGTAGAAGTTCTCCGTGATGAGATGCTCAGACATGAAAGGAAGGAATGACAAATCTTCGGAGCAAGTGACCTGGTTTGGTGTTTCTGGGTACACGTGGAACGTGACCAGTGGGTCTGCACAGAAAGGCCGGGCCAGTGGTATGCGCTGTGTCTCAGCACAGACGAGGTTACAGCAGCTTTTGCCATCCATCAGGTTCTGCATTTAACCTGGAGACACACAGTTACATAAGAGTTTAAATAACTCTTACTGACCAGGAATAAAAACACCTCATGCAGACCTACCAACACTTGGCCTCACTGGCATTCTCCAAAAGAGATTTTGAATGCATTTGTGACATTTCAGAAAGGTGTTATAAGATCACAAGATAGAGCGAACAATTTGCCATTTGAAAATACAGAAAGTGTAAGTCAACAATGCTGATTAAAATAATTCACAACAGGAAAGAGCTAGCAGTCTCCTTTCACATCTAATTTTGAAATAAGGAGAATCTACGTACTCCACATCGGTCTAGACAGTAATCCACCAAAACTTACATCTCTACAGAATATAGACAAAGCAGGTCAACATCTGAGACATTCTTTCCAACCCCTTCTCCTCTTGAAAAAAATTAAATCTACAATTCCAGTAGAAGACTCCATATTCATACAAAAAAGCCTTCAAAGTCAAATCATTTTTTCTCTCTATTTATTTAATGTCTCATTCACCACACTATCTTAAAGAGATTAAAAACTTGTGCAGAGAATGGATCTCAATCTTAATTTCATGTCTGTCAGGTATTACATCCACTCAACACATAAAGGTTTAAAAGAAGTTTAGAGAATTTAGAAAGAAGAGAGAATTTTTGCTAAGCCTAACATCTCCTTGGGTCCTCACTCACCTGCAGATTAAACACAGATATGAAAGACTAAATACAATCCTATTGATAGAGGACTATGAAATAATCAATTAAAAGAGAAAATGTATGTCCTAGTAATACTAAGAAAGGACTTCACACAGTTCTTGGGGCACTGCTGTAACTCAGACTGGCCTACTAAAACCTCATATTCTCCTCTCTTCAGAGCAGCATTACAGCAGGTCTAACTATTTAAATCACCCTTTCATATTTATTACAAAGATAATCTTGCAGTGGTTTATAGGAAGCTACATTAAAACGTCTTCTCAATATCATTATTCGAACAGCTAAATATCAGCATAAGTGCTGATGATGTAATGACTGTCACCTAATAACTACTTAAAATACACTTGAAATAACTAGTTAATTTTTAAAGAATTACTGTGAGCTCACAGCTTGAAGGCAATACTTACCTACACAGAATTTATCCAAAAATGGTCTTACTCACCATCCACTTGCTCATCAATACATTGCTGTCTAAAGCACTTAAGTTATATTACATCCTCTAAAAAGGAAAGCACACCTGAACATTCAGCTAGGTTACTAGACACATCTAGATTCCATACTCACAAAAATCTTGCAAAGCTTCAAAGGCTCCCATCACAGTTTCATAACATAAATGGGATCCCCTGAATCCTTCAAAAGGATATGGGGATATTGTAATGTTTTCTAATGACTTCATGTTTATACAGAGAGAATTTTTACTCAGTATGGACCTGTCCTCACAATATATTTTAAGAAAATGCCTCTGACCGCAGTGTTGTCTCTTATTCTAATGCACACAAGTTTCACAACAGAAATCCTATGAGTTAAGAATTCATTTACAGCAGGCTGTTAGACATGACTGAAAGTCACATGCGTCTTAAACAGGTACTTACTTAAACAGGAACACATACCCATTTCACATTAATATATATGCAAAAAAATAAGAGGTGAATATACGCTCATTGTAAAATCAAAACAGCAGCAAGTCACCTTTCCTTTTTCTACTTACACAGGTTATTGTCTAAAAACTTTCTACTGCTGACAACCTAAAAACACGCCTGAGGAAAAAGTCTGCTACACAGCAACAAAAATTTACAGCAAAACATCACTACAGAGCAAGAAATCAAAACCAACACAACTCCTCAAGAAGAGATACCTGCAGTACTTGTTGCTTAGTACTGATACTTCTGCTGCACAACAGCATTACATAAAACAGTTACTTGCTGCCTTACCACCTGCACAAAGTGCAAAATGCGTTAGGAACATTTTCCTCTTAGACCAGAGACTCACCAATCTTCAGATGGAAGTAAAATCCAAGGAAACAAGACGTGCTATTTTAAGAGTGATGAATACCTGAAAATATCTGAACGATATTAAAAAAAAAAAAAATTAATGTTCCATTTTTCTTACACCTTATTAAATAAGAGATCATATTAAACAGGGTTCAGTTCATTAAAGGGCTATGGAAGCATTGCTAATGAATGGCTGGTAGAGGTGATTTACAAAATCACTGATATTCAATGAAGATACAGCAAGCAAGTCTCTTACCTGAATTGTGTCGCTTGTTCCGCTGAGTCAATGACTGCTGCAATTTATAGTCAATTGACAACATGCAAAGTAGCTTACAGTTAGATCTGCTCTTTTCTGGTTGGGCTCTTCCACCCACACCACAGCTATGATGGCAACAAAACTTGGCACCAAGGGCTAGAAATTTTCAAAGTGTTATTGAATACGTCCAGATTACCTGAAAAAGTATAAGGAGCGTACTTTGTTTACTTCCTGTATATATTCTGCTACAGTTTACTAAAGCAGTATTTTCATTTATTGGCATTTCATACTTTAATGCCAAAATATAACAATCACCTAGAATTTAGGTAAATATTCACCATCAAGGCATAAGCAAATTTTCACAGCTTCATTTTGAACACAGAAGAAGAGCATTTATTAAGAGGAAACTCATGATGGATTTGTCTCCATTAGAGGTGAGGACACATTAGTTAGCTTAACACCCTCAAATTTAATCTGCATTCTACTATAATTTTGGGAAATTCCCTTACTGTTAGGAAGTATAACACCATATAAAAGGTGAACATGTGTAAGAAGAGGTAAGATTTGAATACAGGGAACAATCAGTAGTAAGACAAACATTTTGAAGCTTTGCTTAAACTCAGAAACATAGTATGGAGCAATCGTCTGTATAATCCCATGTATACAGATCATTTTTATATCAGTATATAGCTGCCCAATTGTACAGAGCCAAAGAAATAGGACACATATCCTCAAAATTCCCACACTTTACAGCATTAGCTCAACAATTTGGATTATCTCACTATTTGGCCCTTCTATCAGTATAACCACACCAAAAAATCCCAAACCAAAACCAGTTTAGCTTAAAAATTTCAGAAGACACTGTAAGATTAGAAACACTTGATCTACCACCAAGAGAGCTACATACACTCAGTCTTGTCTTCTTGAGACTGTCAGACATCAAGGAAACATTCTGCTCCTGCTGCCCTTGTCTGAAGCCACAGTGCTGTATTTGGCATCCTCCGTTCCACATCAGCTTCAGGTCTCGTCAAAAAGGCAGCCAAGAGGTAGAACATCTGCCAGGACTGGTAGACAGGCATGTGCTCAACAAACAAATTGCATTATTTTTCCCTAGAGGACCCCAAGTACATCACTGTTGTAAGAGTATCCACTGATCAACATTCCCCTCATCAGGGTGGGATGCTGAACACAGTATCTTGAACCAAGGCTTGTTTTTATTTTTCTTATCCTTGTGGGTTTTGTTTGCTTTTAAATTTAAAGCAAGAATCCTGTGCATCCACCAATTAGCCATCTGCTACAAATCCCTCCAAATGAACTCAGCTTTGGAAGACTACAGGACTGAGAAGGAAGCTCTGTATCTGCAAAAGAGCTCAGTCAATGCAGATGTTATGTGACAATGGTGCCTCCACCCCTGATGTGGCAGAGCTATACAGACAGGTACAGTCTGTCCCCTGGGCTGTGGGCTAAGCAAGCCAAAACTGCACCCAGAAATGTGTACCCACGTACCACTTCCTTCCACACTGGAACTGAAAACCGGAACAGACAATAATGTACCTACCTATGCACAGCTACATTTGAGCCAGGGATTAAAATTTTTTTTCAATTAACAATTCAAGGAGCCTTTCTTTATCTAATCACTCAACAGGTGCATGTTTCTACCGTGAAGTGTTTTTAGAGAAGTACTTTTATAGATGGGATTTCCACGCAGCATAATGAGGGAGACAAATGATGACAAACTGATAATGTAGATCCATTTTTCAAAAATCAGTTTTATCTTTAATTGTTACATTCCAAAGGGGATATATGAAAGTTAGTCATCTAGCAACTGTATACCTCTTAAGAGAGATGAGTACAGAGTCACAGATAAAAAAATACACCTAACTCCCAAGATGACAGGTGCTAGAGAAAGTATGTGCCTTACACCATCAATCCAGACAAATGCAGAAAGATTTTTATAATAAATATTTCATCATATACTAACTCCTGAGACTTTACCCATGAAAAGAAAGGGAAAGATTTTTTTTTAAGAGCTATCATACACCTAGAATATATTAAGCTAATAAAGCAAAATGGAACAAAATAACACTGTCTTGATGTGCACTGCATTTGAATTTATCTACATCACAGTACTTGAAATATGCAGCTCAAAGAGTCAGTGTCCATTATGTTTTACCTTAAATCTGCAGACATCACTTGCCATACAAGCATCTTGAAGGTACGAGTGCAAGAAACCAAATGATGAATTCAGCCAACCAGGATTTCATTCTCTGATACGAAAACTACACTGCAAGACTTCGATTTCCAGTACCTAGCATTAATCAGCAGAAAATCCAAGTATATTTACAAAAGGTCTTTACATAAAGTGATTAGTGAGCTGTAAGTAATTACTGTGTTCCCAGGTACTTTTTAACCACATAAATAGTAGAGAGAAATATATAGTTAAAAACCACCATAAAGTCACAACTGTAAATAATGTACCACAGTGGCAATCCAAGGTATCTTAGAGTTCGTTTTCTTTTCAGTTTTTTTAGTAAAAGCCATTTGAAAACAAAGATTTTAGCTTTTGGTTAACTAATCTTTTAAAACTGATTCCACTCCAGTACATTCCTTCAAAGTTCAAATACTTTTTCTCTTTATTTCTTTTAAATCATTAACGAATCACTCAAGAAAACTCTTCTGAATTGGCAGGATCAGGAAGACATACGTCAGCTCTTTCCATCAGTCCCCTTTACTTCCCTGGAGCTGTTTTACCGAGACACAATTAACTCAGCACAACGTGATGGTCAAAGACAGATTTGCGCTGCTCTTGGACCTGCAGCTTCCAGCGCTGCTGGGCGTACTCCACTTTGTTCAGCACGTTGGCGCGGCTCCGAGAACGAGCCAGCACATCGTGTGCGTTTGCAAAAGGCTGGTGATCCTGGAATGGCAAAAGTCAACAGTTAGACCCCAACAATTCCACAGAGCAATCACATTAGTCTTTTGTGTCCTTACATTCCAAAGGTTTGTTTTGGAGGTTGTCTGTTGTTTTTTTTAGGATAAACAAGCTGTTTCAACAAGCAGTCAGTAATAACGACCAAGCAAGTTTTTGAATGGTTAGAACTGTACTTCAATTTCTCATTCACAGGAACTTCCACAGGTTTCCCAAATAGACTACACTTCATTGTACTGTCAGTCAATCATCTGCTGTCCAGAGGCACCACAGTGATCATCAGGTTTAGAATCACAGCCTCGCATCCTTTAGGAGCTGGGGGGACAGACCCAGGACTGGGAGCCTCCCAGTCATGAATGCACTTCACTTTAAAACTGAACCTACGAGTCAGTTCTCTGCCAGCTCTTGGGCATTTACTGCCAGGCAGTTCAGGATGTTCACACACAGTTTCTATATAAAACCAACACACTCCGATGTTTACCAAACTAAGCCTATTGTACTGAGCTGTCTAAAAGCACAGCGTCAATACAGCTGTTTAAGTGACAGAACTCAACAAAAAACAAGTGCTTGTTTTACATTTACTCTGTCTGTTTCCTAACAGTACCTACAGAGCTTTATTTTCCTTCTAGTAAATATAACCAAGTTATAAATAGTAAATGTTGGAACTGAACTTTGATAGAACTTCTTCAGTTCGATCAAACTGTTTTGGACAAAGTCATGCTGCTAAGGCTATGTCAGAAAGCATCATATATAAAATGCATAATGAAAAATAATGTAATTATGTCCTGTATTAAATAACTGTCTTTTTGAAGGCCTACATTTCACAGTCCTTTTTTTTTCCAAAACACTTTTGAAGACATTTACATTAATGATACTTTATTTGTGACATGACTGTGTAGAGCAGCTCACTGATAGTTCTTAGTCGTAAAAAGATTATCATCAATGATACCTATTGAAGTGATTAATACAAGTCCCAAAGCCACACGTGAGCCTTAAATAAATATGGTCAGAGAACAAGAGACAATCCCTGACCAGAAGAGCTGTAATCTACCACAAAAAGTTGTAGAATTGGATATACCCAGAACAGGCACTTAACAGGTGAGAGAACACTTCATTTACAGGGAAACAAAATCACAATAACAACACATTTCTACCATAGAACAGGTGGTGGGAGAATCCAGGACAAACTGGACGGTACTGGCCTTCCTGATAAACAAGAATCAGCTCAAAGGCTACCACTCTCAATTTCTATGTAGACAACAAGGGGGAAAAAGAATTTAAGAAGAAAGAAAACTAAGGAAGTGGCTTACATTCATCAGTTACCACTGCCACCAATGGGCAACAAGAAAGAGCAAACATAGTGGCTTGAAATTCAGCCACAAAAATCAATGCACGTGATATTTCCAAAGTGTGACAAAAACACTCAAGAACTTGCAAAAGGGAAGGCAAGGATGGGGATGAGGGACCTTAAATTATGTTACATTCACTGTAACATGTGGAGGATTAACAGGAAAGGAGCAACTTGAAGAAAGCAAGGGCATGAAGTGTCATTTGTTCCAAGCACCACTGCAGATAAAAGCACTAGTGACTCCACAGGTATAAGTCAGAGAACAGCTACAGCAAAACACAGGACTTATTTCACTTCTTCCACCTACAGTCAGAAGATTTTAACCCAGATTTGGGGGTATTAATATAATTCATTTAACATACAAATTTGTCTGAGCCGTAGCATACAGCACAAGTTCACTTAATTCAAGTAGGAACTGCCTAATTTGATATAAGAATTCAGACACAGAAAAGGTCATTCAATTCCTTCCTTTCAAACAACAAACAAACAAACAAACAAACAAAAAAACACACAAAACAAAATAAAAATCCCTCAACCCAAAATTTCCCTAGAAGTAACAATGTAGGGAAAATCCTACAGTGTCAATACAAAGATAGTTGCAACATATCTATATGTAATCCACAAGAAAGTTCAGAAACAGTGGGACATAATCATTGGCCATGTTCACTTTAAAAGTTGTTTCTGTTCAGCAAGGGAGTTACTAAGTTTTCAAAATTAGGAATTTTTCTAGATAATAGTTTTTATCAGCTGTGCTTTCTTTGTGTGCCTTGATTTCACAACAAAAATACATGATTGTTACCCAGTGCTGGAGATTAGGAAGGCCAGTAATGACAGGAACCATGTCACTAATGTACTACTCCCCTTTTCCTCCCAAAAAAGGTTGTTCTGGAACATGCTGTCATATTTTGTTTTCTAAGTATTTCTTTGTAATACTAAGAAATTATTTCTGCATCAATCACTATTTTACTTCATTATAGCAATTTCTTGAATTTTTAGCAGCAACAAGCTCAAACTGGAGCAAAACAAGGTGCAACCACTCCTTCCTTTTGCACAGAGCAATCTAAGCAGTAAGCAATTTGCATAAATGTGATCACCAGCAAGACTCGGGATCACTAGCACGTAAGCTGTACTCCTATATATGCTTACCTCCATTCCTACTGTTTCTTCTCTGTGAAAATCATCTGTGCCTAGAGCACAACATAACTGAAGCAGTTCCCCCCCTCAATACTTTCTAGCCCAGTGAAAAATGAAAGAATGGCTTCACAGAAGTCATCACACAGTTTTTTTTATGCTCACTCTTCTGGGCAAGCATTTACACTGCCTGGCAAAAAAAAGCTGCTCATACCAAATACTTTTCTATCAGCTAATCATCCCAATCTTTATGCTCACCCCCTACACAAACACCCTGGTGAACTCACCCCAATGTCTTCATCACTTTGTATGAGCTGTGAATGTCCAAGAAGACGTCTCTTCAGTATAGGCTCCACCAGTGTAAGGTACACCATGTACAGAAGAAGTAGGCCCAAAATAGACAGGTATATGATGATTGTTACCTACATAATGCAAGCACAGTTTATGCCAGGACTGTGACATTCAATCTCACAACAAGGACCAAAAGAACAGTTCACCCAATGTCTAATCTCTGATAGTGTCACCAGATGACTTAAAACCCACAAAGAGAGGAAAACCAACAAACTACAACCTGGCAATAGGGTTTGGGGAAAATGTATATTAGCTTGAAACAGTTCCTCTTAGTGAGACCTTGCTAAAAATCTTATGCGATTCCTCTTAAAACAATTCAGTGGGCTTACTAATTTGGGGCATCACCCAATGATGTCCATTCTCTAGGACAGATCTGCATTCAAACAGTCACCAAGCAAAATGGGAAGGCAAAACAAAATACCAAACTTCTAAAATAGCAAAGTGGTCTGTGTTATCAAAGACCGTAAGATACACTCATGATCTATTCACCCAGTCCAGGGCTCAGTGGCTCCAACAGGATAAAAATTATAATAAAGAACACAGATAACATGGACAATCTTGCTCTGTTTACCTTGCCAATGTATAAAGAAAATTTATAGTAAGCAAGTAAGGCAGATGAGTAATGAGAGGCCCCCTAGAATAATGAGAAAAACAAAGCCCAAAGCTTAACACTCAGAATTTTAGCCAGGTGTAAAGCTTAATCTCAGATGTAGAGATCTTCAATAAAGGGTCTCAAGTTCATTCTTCAGCTATTGTTTGACACTATTGTTACCACTCAAGATAAACTGTGACCAAATACTGTGAAAGAAACTTCAACCTTAGGCTGCTTTAGAAAAGCTATCCTTTTAAAAAGAACACTTCTCTAAAAGACAACAGACATATTTACTAAACAG